ACTAAATCAATAAAAGGATTAATCATATTGTTCTAATCTTCTATTTGTCTRTGTGGCATTAGAGGACACATTTTAGTCTTCCTTTATGGCTGGCTTGTTGCGCTGCCAGATACAGTAGTTGAGGCAGCTTGCTAATGTGACCCARCCAAGATATGGGACCATAAGACCAGCRGCAAGTTTACTGACTGGATAAAASGTGTAGACACAGCCAGCTACAGTTCCCCACAGAAGGAGGATTTCACAAAATGCCTAGAAATGTAAAATTGCAGTTTGAGAATTTGCCTCTAGGAAAACACACTTGTATGAATATGCAGCAAGATTGACATTGATATATGTATTATGCTTCCATGCTCCAAAATATTTGAATTGATTAGAATAATCCTGGTACTATATTTGGCAGTCAAAGTGCCAATTCATAATAGCTATTGGCCTTTACCTAAACRAGCAGGAGACTGGGTACTATCTAAATTAACCTAATTAAAAAATTAATCATATCATTGGAAAGACCACCAMACAATAAACAAGATTTCAAAGTTTGGTTGCTTTTGGTTAAATAATGTGTAAGAAATGGACCTTCAAATTTTGAAATTTTTCCAATGATATGATTAATATTTTAATTAGGTTAATTTATATAACTAGTACCCAGTCTCCTGCTCGTTTAAGTAAAGGCCAACTATTGCTCGATTTCATACCGTGGGAGACTGGGTACAAGTCCCTTAATTAGCACGACGATGAGATAAGACTTATATAAAACGAAAGAACGTACTGAGGAATACTACGTGCAAATTTGGTGTCAATCAGGTTAATATTAAACGATTTACAGCCTTTCAAAAACACTAGAATTTCCAAAGAAATGTATAGAATGCTGGACGCTGTGTCCAGATTTTTCTAAATTCCCATACATTTCTTTGTAAAATCTAGAATTTTTGAAAAGCTGCCAATCATCTAATTTGAACCAATTAACACCAAACTTTGTGAGTTTCTTATTTACTGTGCGATCTTTCGTTCTACATGTATATAAGCATGGGATCGTGATATAATACCACAGGTAACCTGTATTTTTCTTGAGAGCTTGCGCACCGATGCAATAACATAACAAAAGCATGCACATTCGTTCTTTTCTTTCTCTCAAGCAATGGTTGGGTGAGCTATGTGCTGACTGCTTCATACTTGCTAAAATAACACCCTTGACAATACAGTGCAAGACTTACTGCTCCTAGTTTATGAGCCCCAAAGAAGATTGGAGTCCAGGCCCAATTCAGTGCCAACTGAGAACCAAAGAGAATCAAAGGTAATTTTGTTGTATCATTGTAGCCACCTCCTTCATTCCATACTAAATATGATGCATAGCCCATTCCTGTATACAGCGTGGTCCATACAGGTCCAAAGGCCCAGTTTGGAGGACGCCATGATGGCTTATTCAGACCTGAATATTGCAGGTTACAGTAACTGATGAGTGATTGTACAACTTTATCTATCAAAAGTGGTCCCTTCCAAACAGTGCATGCGTGTAGTATGCACGATAAGCATGCTATAGTTTGAAGGGAGCCAATGCAGGAAAAAAAGAGATCAGGGGATATAAAACACCCTCGAGGTGATAAATCATACAAGTTACTTAAGGTATAAATCACAACCCATGAACATGCACAATCACTTATCCTAGGGCCCCACTTCTGCAGGTGCTGAATGAATTGTTTTGAAAATGACCTTAAAAAACTCGACATACATAATTAATGAGCTACTAGGCCAATAGAATGAGCCTATTTGGTCACATGCATGGACCTTTATATCTGATAAAAC